AACTTATATTATGTCGACTTGTCAAGATAATCTATCTCGCCATGACAACATACAATATGTATTATGTCGACTTGTCAAGATAATCTATCTCGCCATGACAGCATAACATTTTTACTATGTCGACTTGTCAAGATAATTTATCTCACCATGACAACATACAACTTTTATTATGTCGACTTGTCAAGATAACCTATCTCGCCATGACAACATACAATTTTTACTATGTCGACTTGTCAAGATAATCTATCTCGTCATGACAACAAAACATTTTTAGTATGTCGACTTGTCAAGATAATCTATCTCGCCATGTTGACATGATTTGTATATTATGTCGACTTGACAACATAATTATCTTGACAAGTCGTCAAGTCGAATGGCACTTAGGTGCTTCCGTAATCTCCGACTCTGTACCTAGCAAATGGTGAAAATATATCTCACTATTATATGTCACACGACCTCTGATTATTAACATTTTCACCGGGCTCCTATACAGCCAATAAGAAGAATTGTATCATCAGTGTAGATTTTCACCCATAGGCCTAAGGCTTTTTCAAAATTATCAACTTCAATTAAAAAAAACGATAGACCGTTTTTCAAGTATATTGTCACACCGCGTCCCTCAATAAATGATTTAGAACAAAACATTTGGTATCCCTCTAGTTGGAATACAGTAAATTCTAGTCCATCTGTCTTTCTTAGGATACATTTCAGTAAGTGCAATCACATGTGGTTTCTCAGTGGATATTTTAGCCCGCAGCTCCCCCCTTTTGTTTATGAGTGAATCACAGTTGGTGTACATACAAGAAATACATTTTAACTTATAAGATTCTTCTGGTGCAAATGAAGATGCACGCACAGTGCTAAAATTTTTGGGTGCTTGCAGCTTCCGTCCTCCATTAATGAAAAGGAGAGAGTTTAACAGTCTTACCGTGTTTGATTGTCAACCCCTTCCCCCCGCAGGGCTGGTAATTAAGAGTTATTTGGTCGCATTTGCGACCTCATTTTTGTTTTTTATTTGCGACAAGGAATTCATCTATAGGTCGCGCTCAGTGCGAAAAGATCATTCAATTGCGCGAGTAGTTTTCATAAGCGCCAGAAAGGTGTTTCCCTCTCCAAATCCCACTTGTTTACAACTTGTACAGCCCATCCCATGAGTTTGAGCCAGGCGATATGGAAAGCAAGGTATCATTCATTTTGCATGTACTGTATCAACCAATCAGCACGAGCTAGTCTGTTAACGTGTGACGTTGTGTCGATGTACGCTCATCTTCTATTCTTGGAAAATAAGCAATCTCCGTCAAATCAACGAAACTGGTATAACCGTATAAAACGATCGGCTTGGACGATTTTTATCATTCTATTGAGGGCCAGTAGTTTTTAAAATTTCCTTAACTTATTGTTCATAAAATAGAATACCGATATTTCGAACAAACAAACATAATTATGCCTCATAACAATTGTGAAACCTACGGTAATTAAATAAAATATATAGTAAGCAATGGCTTTACTAAAAAATATTTAGGGGAAAACTCTCCTTTACTACCATTTATTTACTGAACGAGCCAGTCTGCTTCTGACCTACTTTTGTTCGTATCGGCGGCGTACAAAGAGTCAAATGACTGTACCTGGTAGGTAGAGTTGGTGTCTGCGTCTCACTGAATGTAGCAGAAGGTAAGCATAGTTATTTATAGGCAACTGGTAATGGGCCTATATCAAACAATTTATTTCGTTCTTAACAAAGTATCAGCAGATAAAATAAGTAAAATGATTGTTTTTAATCGTGTTTCTAAATTATGAAAATTGAATTGCTTTTAAAATTAATATTTAAAGATTTAATTTTGAAACGTGGAATTAATAAAGTGCAATAAATAAATAAATTGTTTAATTATATCTAAAATAATTATACAGGAAATATTTCAACATCGTTAAACCATAGGTTTAAATGGTTAAACCGAACTAACTGGTAGTAGGCCTTCCAATAAACTGGTAGTAGAACTTCCAATAAACTATTAATATCGTACAGGAGGATTGTCACACGTTCTTGTGTTTACAAATGAATAGGGTTTCACTGAGTAACATCCCAAACCACGATGAATAAGAATAGAAAGTGTAGGCTATATATATACTGTCTCTTATACACATCTAGATGTGTATAAGAGACAGCTATGGGTGTGTGTGTAATTTTATTTATTATTTAAACTTGTTAATAGTTTATTAATTAGTCTGATCCTTGGGTAGGCTGAAAGATTAGCTAGTGGAAATAAATATGACCAGTTCGCGTCTAAGAGAACTCATTTGAGATTTGAGAGAATAGCTAAAGGGCATTCAAATTTTCTCGAGTGTTATTTACTATATCGATTTTTTTCGACGACGTTTGTGATTGATTTTGGATTTTATGTAGATCTATGCATTTTGGATTTGAAAGCGGAAACATAAGTTTTGTTACAGGGTCATGAATATCATTTGGTTCTTTAATAATCACACACGTAAGAAGGTGTCGATTGTTAGCTATAGAGAAATATTAGGATAACCATCTATGTTTCTTCGATTTTTAATTTAAATTAACAGATGAAGATGACGTGGCATTTTCACGGGAAGCAGACAAAACGTTTTACATCGGGATGGATTTCAGTGCTGTTAATAATATTCATTTTAATCAACCCGACTTCTATCCAGTGAGTTCAAGTCGAATAACGTATAGCCCACAACTAAACCACATTAGTTTTGCATTTCCATCGTCACCACCACTCAGCCAGTGTGGAGATATACCTAAAGGGACATTCTGTTCTGAAGATACGTTCACGAAATTGAACAAGAACTGCTCTGCTGAATTCTGCCAATGCGCACAAACTATTAATGTTACCCTAAATGAAGTAAGTATACCCATCACAATGAACAATTATTGGTCGTTTTTGGAGGGTCGAATGGAGCCAGAGAATTCAGGAGAATAATCTCTGATAGGGTGCAAAGGGTGAAGCTTTTTTGGAGCCTTAAAGATTTGTATTTCTACATCCATACTGCAAAATCAGAGAAAATAAGTTTTAGACATCAAATAAGTATTAATGTTATGTGACATTTTTTACATTTAGAATAACGACAAAATCTTTATAATAAATCATGACACACACAACCTGTAATATCATTACACTCATTATCATCTTGACTGTTATTTCTAATTATTGCTGAATTTCAATAAATTTGATGAATAGGTTATCTTATGTTTACGTACTATTTCCTATGCAGCTTAAATCTCATTTGTTGATACTTTTTTTGCGTACATTAATAATCTTATATTGATATGTTATTTGAATATTTTGTTCAATTAAAAAATAACCATCATTATTTCCACAAGTTTAGCACCTTATGTATTTTGTTGTTAAACTTGCGTGTATCTAAAATCTGTTAAAAAAATTCCACAGGTTGTTGAATTGGTGGTTGTGAATGAAGGGAAAAATTTTGATGTTAGTCATCCCATGCATCTGCATGGCCAGTACTTCCGGGTTATTGGCTTTGAAAAACTAGGAAAGAGCACAACTGTAGATCAAGTTAAGGAAATGGATAAAAATGGTACGATTATGTCGTTATTACTACATATTATTACACATTCTCCAACAAAACTAAAAACAAAGTATTTTAAGTCCGCTGTACCAAGTAGGGGCGGATCTAGGCATTTGCAGGAGGATGTGTCCAGAAAAAAACAGCATGCACTCGGGTTCACAGTATTCACAAGAGAAAGGCCGGGGAAGGACTTTCACAGGTAGGTGTGAATCACCTCAGCCCCACCATGGTTAGGGTTGAGGTAAGACAAATTATAATTATGGCACCTCCAGATGGCCGGAAAGGGCACTCTCAGACTTCACTTTTAAATATCATTTTCTTTTCTTCTCCATTTTTATATAATTTAAAAAAAAAATTGGGTAGGGAGAGTGAGCTGGGCCCCTTTAATCATCCTCCACCGGAAAGCTATTCCAGAAAAAGCATTGAATAAAACATTTTTGTGCATCCGACCATGAACATTATCTTGATCAAATGCCTCCAGCACCAACTTAACATTAGGCCACACATTCACTAGGCCTATAATTCGAACATCATACAGTTAGTGTTTTTTCCTTTTGTAAAATGCACCCAGAACACCAGCCCTTAATATTTAGAAAATGTACATCCGGGAAAAATCACCGGCGCTGTATCGACGTTGGCATTTTAAAATAAATCAGCAGGAGCCAAGAACATAAACAATGTAGTTGATGAATGTCTTAATCAAGTCACTAACCCAATAAAGGCCCATAGAATAGAAGACCTAGCCTGCCAGGGCATTGATTAAAATATTGTGATACTTTTTTTTTGTTTTAATGTCTCAGGAGTAATGTCTCTGACCACTTCCCACACTTTTTCCAGCACTGCCCCTTGTGGAATAACCTTTTACTAACATCTGTATAACATGTTTTTCCTTATTAAAAAAGGTCACTCTAAGTCACACAAAGGAGCATTTTGAGCGCCTTATTTAATTAATTTCTCAAACCAAAAAGTCATGAAAATTCTGTATTTATTTGGGTGTTGTTAAAAACTTGAAGAATCTGTTCCAACAAATTTCGTACTAAAGTTATTAAAATTCAATGGTTAGAAGAGCTGGCAAATGAATGCATAGTGCATATCAATTCGCAATAATTGGGAACGACAGTAGTGACATAATATGTTTTAAATGATGCAGAGTGTGCATCCTTACCTTATTCACACAGGATGTACTGTATCGAAAGGAAGCCATCATGTTTCAAATTATACACGCCAACTGCAATCTAAAAATTAAACTTGTGATATGATCACCCTAAAATAACAAATGGACTATTTTGAATTTATTAAACGTGTGCTGTTTGTAATCTTATTTAACTATATAATCATTGCTAAAAATAATGTAATTAATTTATAAAGATGGGGTTAGTTTTGACGTACCAGGCAACCCTAGCTAAAATTGTACACTTCCTCAATTAAAAGCGTCTGCGAATGGAATTAACATTTCGAAGCACAACAAAATCCTGTTGACCACATGATTACAGAACTTGTTCGATTATATTCGTTCGAATCACCTATGCTACAATAACAAATAATGAACAAATATCCAAACACATCATGAAGCTATCATAATCATAAGAGAGAACATCAGTCTGGTCACAGAATATATTTAAACTAATATTAAATCACATTAACTATAATTCGTGTAGTTTTTCTTTTACTTGTATATTTTTGGGGTTTTTTTGGCATTCATTTACAATTCAAGTACTACCTAAATAAGAAGTACCACACTATCTTAAAAAGAAGCCCATAGGGTTTTTTGAGGTAACTTTTGCAAACTAAATAAAGAGCCTATCTTTGAGATGAAATACTTCCCAAGATAAAGACCTATATACTTCTTTTTGAGATTTTACGGTATCTGTTGAATATCCGAACACATCATGACGTAAATGTATTCTCATAAAGGCAACTTGAGGCGTGAACCACACTTATCTTTGAAGAAAGACACCGTCATCGTTCCCGACGGTGGGTATGTGATTTTACGTTTCCATGCAACTAACCCTGGCTGGTGGTTCTTTCACTGCCATTTGGAATTTCATGTGGAGGTATGTTTTCATGTTTTTTTTTTCACAATTGTGTTAAAAAAAACAACCCCAGAATATTTTCATGTAACGTATTATTGTGATTATCCAAATCTAGAAACAGTAAATCTTCATTCGGTTTTCAAGCCCCAGCACTTTGGAATATGTTCCTAACTACCATTCGTAGTAAACCAACATAACTCTCTCAAATTACTCTTTATATACAACATATGCTTTTACAGCATCCAAAATCTGATTACAGTCATACTTGACATTCTCTGGGTTGAAGTGTGTGCCTGGTGGAGTGTTGTGTGGTTAGAGTGCGTGATGGTTTGTGATTTTTATATATTATTATAAATTATACTTTCTTAATATAATCGATTTAAAAATGTATGTTATATTGTGTATATATATGTATTCTTAGGTTGGCAGCTGAACCTTAGATTTGTTATGCAAAGTTCGCTCAATCAAAATAAATAACCAAACGAACGGAAGAACAAATACATTTGATCTAATTTTCTGCACTAAATTATGCACTAAATTAAGTCGACAATTTAAATGTAATAAAACCCTCAATCAAATAGCAACAACCGATTATATTAAATTCGTTAACTAAAAAAATTCGTTAAATAAAAAAAGGGACAGTTAAGTGAACTGAAAAGAGGGGAAATTTTAAAATACCATAAAATGTAAATGGTGGGAGCAATAATTATGGTTTTCTCATAAATTGAAATCACATTATTGTTTTATTATTATAACTATAATTGAACTTATAATTTTCACCAAACATGATTTCTATCACCTTTTGAATGTTATTACTCTTGAAGTGTTATTTTTTATATGTATTTAGATTGGTATGGCATTAATTGTGCACGTCGGTGAACAGGATGATCTACCTGAAGTGGCCAAGAATTTTCCGAAATGTGGTAATTTTCCAAACAAAGGAAACTCAGTTTTCACAACCCAAAGTCTTGCTATAATTTTGTTTTTTATTTTCTATTTCGTTTAGCAATTTTTAGATATATTTTGCTCCTTACCATGTCTTAATATCTCAATCATGACAGATGTAGTATTGCATAGGTATAGTTTGGTGTTTTTTTTAATAAGATTTAATTTTAATGTAAGTTAATCAGATTTTAGTAATTAGAACTTTTAACGTATGTATCTATAGTGTTAACCTATAGTATTATTGGGAGACGGTTTCTATTTAATTGGTTTATATATGTAAAATCATATTAGTAGCATGTTTTGAAATTTAGAATATTTTAACTAACAAAGTAATGAATCTGGAAAGTATGATTTAAGATGAAAATTAGAAGTCAAGAGCTACAAATGAAGACATTGATGATGCACACGAAATGCAGCATTTCTCTACATCCGTTGTCTGGAAGGTCTTTGGCCCATGGTGTGGTCCATAATGGTTTAGTAAGCAACTGAATGTTGTGCCATAATTTTGATTTTTATTTTCTATTTCATTTCGCAATTTGAGGTTACGACCCATGGTCACACGACAATTTAGTATACGTCGGAGTCAAGTAGGTCTATTTTGTATTTGTATATTTATTTTCAGCCATAACTTTAAAATCTTTAATCAAAACAGATGCGAAGAGGAAGATCTACCTGAAGTACCCAACTATTTTCCGAAATGTGGTCATTTTCAAAACTGAGAAAACACAGTTTGCTAAAATTTTGATGTTTTATTTTCTATTTTATGTAGCAGTTTTTAGATCTATTTTACTATTATAATGTATCCCATTAGCACTACCTATTCTGTTTGTGATATTATTCATTCCTCCTTCTTCTTTTCCTAAGTATTTGAAGCTACTAACATTTTGTTGGTTGAACATTTATGGTGATGTCTTCATTTCTGTTTGTATACATACCTTTTCCAGATTTCGCTTTGCACTTCGATTAGTTTCCTAAACACTTCTCATTTTCTTCTTCTTGGAGCACTTGGAATCTGTTTTTTGGACTTTGATATTGAATCTTGTTTTACATCTTTGAGCTTGCCAACATCAAGCCTTTTACCGCTGTTCTGTCCTTTCATTACTCTTCTTCAGTTTTAAGTATTAGCTCTCTGAGGATTTTGGTGACTGTCACAGATGTCCTAAATTTTCTGCTGACAACTGTGTGATCCATTTGGTTCCTTGTGTTTCCGTTTGGAGAAACCCAAGTGTATTTGTGAATATTCTTATGAGAAAAATCTTAATTGTGACGGATGTAGGTAAGTTTGGTCCTTTTTAATAAAATTATTTAATGAATGTTAATCAGATTTTAGTAATTAGAATATTTACAGTAGTTTTAACTGCAGTATCACAGGGAAACGTTTTAGTATAATTAAAATATAATTAGTTGTGTTTATAGAAGTAAGTTCCTTTTGGCATTATATTTGCTAGAAAGTCTGGTTAAGCTGGAAATTATAAGTTAAGAGCTAAACATGAAGACGTTGAAAGTGCACAGAAAATGTTGCATGTTTTATTTTTGGCCCATGATTCAGTTTGAGATATGATTTTAAGATGAGATATTAAGAGCTTTTATTGATTTCATGCCACTAGATCCTGCATATTTTCTACATCAGTGGTCAGGAGCCTTTTTGGTCTATGACTTAGCAATTTGAGGCATGATTTTAAGATAAAAATTAGAAGTCAAGAGCTAATCATGAAGATATTGATGATAATGTATGTGTTCTATATCAGTGGTCAATTTAAAGTATGATGTTTAAGATGACAATTAGAAGTCAATTGATGATAATGTATGTTTTCTATATGGTTGTAAACGCCTTTGGCCTATGATTTGGCGCATGACACACTAATTTGAGGTTACGGGTTATGTTAAGTCAATTAAACACATCAATTTACCCTACGTGTTTAATACGTCTGTATTGTGTGTTGATTTTCTTTTTAATTTCAGCCATTACATTATAACATACAGTAAATCAAAACACACTAGATAAAACAGAAAACACCAAACTGGTACAGAACATCTATGCGATCTCAGTCTATTCTATCAATTCGATTATTTCAAATCAACACCAAACGATTTCTCTTCTTTTTCTTGATTTTATTTAACCTTATAACATGGCTTATTTCTATTGGGTACAACATTTTCAACTCGGCACCGATATAACAAAGAGACACAGACATCATTTTTATCTTGAAATTACATGGTCGAAAAGGTGTTTCTCGTTCATGATACAAATATTTTTTTTTACTTTACTATACAATTTAAATTAATAATTCTATAATTCGAGTGCTTATCTTTGAAGATTTGCGTTAAAGTTTCTGTTCCTCTAAGAATAAAAGAATCCCTATTGCGGCTCTACCGATCAGTTCAATAAATCTAGTGACAATTACAGAGTGGAGAGGATGAGAAGGATCTTTTATAATCCTATCAGACTGTAATGCCACCCTGGCACTGTAAACAAAGCCCACCGACGACACACACTATTCGTTCCGCATTATTGACGACGCGGTTAAGCCTGTCCATATATCCACCTGTGATATTTCCTCCCCAGCACACTAGACAATTGCTCAAGGCACCAACTAATAAAAAAATATAGAAAGTGACTAAAATATCGTTATTAACCCTAAAACAATTACGTTTACGCAGACAGTAATGTGAGAATTCAGTTTTTTGATAATATAGTCAATGAGAGTGAACAGTCGACTGCAACCCCAAGATACCTATATGAAGCAATGTATTCCACAAGCTCATATGGAACATATTCCGACAAAATAAAGTTCAAGTAAATACTTGGAGGTCCTGCTATGTTACTATGAAAGCTGCTACAATTCCTGAGGTCGTTACAAAAAATTGAATTTTGAAAGTATATCATACATGTTCTAAAGGCTGGTCAGAGTACCGGTATACGGTTTACCAAAAATGCACAAAAATAGGATCTGGACAATGCACCTCCATTTAGACCTATTGTATCTTCCTAAATTTATGGGCTCACCAAGTTTTTATGCAGCATTTTACAACCAAACTTGCCGATTGAATTAGGTACACATTTACATTTATTTATTTAGTAAGAAATATATATATATATATATATATATATATATATATATATATAATAAGATTATTTTTGCTTTTGATGTTGAAAATGTATTTATGAATCAGTCGATCTAGCGGTAGATTGTATTTTTTACCATCCACAAAATGCTTTAAACACAATTTTTTTATTTTATTTATTCATTCTGAAGTAATTATAAGTAAAATACATTCAAGGATAAAAACACAGAAAAGTACAAAAAAGCAACTTATTTCCACTGTGGTCCTAAATGAGAATACTTAAATTACAGAATAATACATAATCAAACAACAAAGTCAAATTCAATAATCAAAAAAAGACATCATATAAATAAAGCTATGTATAATAAAGTTCAGATAAATAATGGTTTTTTAAGAGTGTATATGGATTGTGAATTTTGAACATTATAAGGTAATTTATTCCATTCATGGATTGCGGTATCGATGACTGAGAATCTACTATATGTACCAGATTTTTGTTTATAAATTGTCATTATAGAAGTCGAAAATCTAGTATTATAGTTATGAAATTGGTTAGTAAATTCAATGCCAGTATTTAAATAAATAGGGGAAATGCCATTAATAATTTTAAAAATTTGAATACATTTTCGTTCAGCAACTCTAGTAGAAACAGGAAGCCAATTTAATTTTTAAAATTCATTATAACCAACATGGGTTCGTGGATGTAGTCCCAAAACACATATTATAACCTTATTTTGGGATGTTTGGAATTTATATTTAATTTTTTTAGAAAGCGAAGAGAACCACGTACAGCACCCATAGTCATAGTGACATTGAAAAAGTGAGGACGCAAGCAATTTGAGTGATTTATACGTTAAATATTTTCTATTTCTGAAAAGAAATTTAAGTCTACCATGTACCTTACCTAAAACTTTCGTACCAGTGGATTTACCATTAAGGTGCTGATCAAGGTCAAGACCCAGGTACTTGATACAGGTTCTGGCATTTACTTTGCAATTATTAAAGGTAATATCCAGTTTTGGTTGTTTTCTACTCATATTTCGTGTTCCATACAGTATGGATTCGGTTTTGTCTAAATGTAACGTTAATTTATTATCAACAAGCCAATTATTTATAAATTTTAACTCTTCATTTAGTTGAGTTTCAATATTTTTTACATTATTACTTGATACTATTAACGCTGCATCATCAGCATACAATAATAATTTGCATTTTACGGAGGATTGCATGTCATTGACATAAACTAGAAATAGGAGAGGCCCAAGTATTGAGCCTTGTGGCACGCCACACTTCATTTCAAGCATAGGGGATCTAGTACCGTTTATGTCAACTACTTGACATCTTCCCCGTAAGTATGATTGCATCCATAAAATAGAGATATCAGAGCTCTTAATTTATAAAAAAGAATATCATGATGAACGGTATCAAAAGCTTTTTTTAAATCTAAGACTAACATACCAGTATATTCACCATTATCCTTTTTTTTTACGTAGGTAATCTGATAGATGAAACAAACAAGTGTCAGTAGAGAACGATGGAAATCGTAGAGGAGATTTTTTTCAGTTAAGTAGCTCATTAATTGATCATATATAATACGTTCAACAATTTTGGAAATAGCAGAGAGTAAAGACACAGGCCGATAATTCCCAGCATCTAACTTATAATTTTTTTTATAGATGGGTATGACCCGGGCACATTTCGAGTCCTTAGGAATACATCCAGTTCTAATAGATAAATTAATAATAGATGTGAGCGGCTGAACAATATTCTTAGCACATCCTTAACAAACCTAACAGGTAAGGAATCTAATCCAGCTCCTTTGTTAACATTAAGTTGGTTAATGACGTCCAAAACTTGATTGACATCAGCTTCCCTAAATACTAGATCACCGGGTTTTACATGTTTGTTTTTATAGAATTCTATTAAATGACTTTCATTAAAAATTCCTGGTTGGTTTGGCACGTATTTCGTAATTTAGTTGCAGTATTAACAAAAAAAGAATTTAGATAATCAGCCACGGATTCTTTGTCATATAAAATTGAGCCATTACATTTTATGGAAAAGTTACTTATTTGATTAACGTTCTTGCCAGCACCAAGACTTCTCTGTTTTTTTTTTTAAATTTATATAAGCATTTATCTCTTTGAATTATAAGATCTCTAATTTCAGTAGTCACAACCATGGCTCAGATCGTTGTTTTGTCCTCACACGTTTTAGGGGAGCAACCTCATCAATTACTGCTAAAAATTTCGTCTTAAATTTACAACAGGCAATATTAACGTCAGTAGCATTTAGTACATCTGTCCAATTGATTTCAATAAGTTTATTATTAGGTTTTTCAGCTGAATATCCCTTCATAGATCTTATTGTAATTGTTTTGTGTTTCTTAATTTGACTTTTGACTAATTTTCTACTACAATAGGTCAAGAAGTGATCACTCACTCCCAAGGACAAGACACCGAATTGAGAGATTTTACCTGGATCTGAAGCAAATATAAGATCAATAACTGTTGAGGTTGTATCTGTGACCCTTGTATAATCCTTAATTAGTTGGGTGAGGTTAAAAATATCGCAAAATTGTTTAACCCAGTTATTATTGGATGTGGTACTTGCTACATCAACATTGAAGTCGTCCATAAGGATAATTTCCTGATCTTGTAAGCTTTTAGAAATATTAAAATCATCAAGTTCATCGTTGTAAAGATCCTGTCTTACATTGTAAGAGATATCTTTACGAATATATAAACAGACCCCACCCCCTTTGGTTTGTGTAATTCTGTCATTGCGTTCAACGTTGTAATTTTCAATTTCGATTTCTTTGTTCTTCACAGATTCATCAAGCCACGTTTCACTAATCGCAATAACTACAGCATTTGATGTTTTGTCTAATATGCGAATTTCATCAATCTAGGGCATAAGACTCCGGACATTGAGGTGCAGGCAGTGCAGCCCCTTTCGCTTAAAAGTTTCAGTTACATTATCAGTGTATTTTGATGGCGGATTATGATCATCTGTTATTTGACAGTCTTCTTCGCAAAGCTCTTGGGCATCGACATTGGTGTGAAATGGCAAGTGTTTGAACAGGCATCTTTGGCATTCAAAGTCGAATTCCTCGCCATTAGTAGACAATTCTATATATCTTTGCAAAGCAAAATTAGCGCATTTGACATGTATCCATCCGTTGCACCCATCACATGATATTGCTTTGCATGATTTAATAATTCCTTTAGAACATGCAATACACGGGCATTTTGTTGCTCTTGGACCAGGGCAGGGATGAATATCTCCTGAGAGTATGAGTCCAATAATTAAAATTTAAGAATCGGCTCGAGATTTGGGAGTGAAGCATTTTTTTTTTTTTTTGAATATTTGTTTTCTTGTAGGCGTTGCGATACAAATAAACAATAAAGCTTTGCTTGTCCTTGTTTAAATGACTTGCTTGGTCTGCAATTTACAATGTAATTCATTACATCAAAGTCTGGTGTGGTGTCCTCATCTTCAATAAATGAAGCTTTCAGTAACAAAAACGTTAACACAAAAAGTAACAAACCAATTGCCATCCTGGTATACACAAAGGCTATGATCACCATCAGTATGGCGCGTAATTCAAATAAGTTTAGCTAACAAAGATGTCGCAATCATAAAAAAAAAAAAAATCAGGAAAGACAGATTCAGGAATCAGTCAACAGTTGCTTCAAAACACACCAAAAATTTATTTCACGGATACAAGAATAAAAAGTACATACCAGATCACGAACATCAAAGTTAAATCAGATTAACATCAAAGGGCAGGAACGTAAAAAACAAAGAAACGAAGCTCGATGAAAGCTACAGCTCCACTAATAGCCTGTACCGGC